ATTATTACACACATATTGTAGATGAGATACAAATGAGACACACATAGGTGATTAATTTCTAATAAATAAATGGTAGAGCTGGGATTTGAACCCAGGTATTTGTCCTCAGATTCATATGGCCAACTACAGTGGCAAACTATGACTCTTAGGCCAAATCTGGCCCATTGTTTTTGTAAAGGCAGCCATACATACAAATATGTATGTTTTATATATATATGAAATATATATATCTCATATATATGACATTTAAAAAGTATTTTTGAAAAAGAAAAAAGAACAAAAGACTCATAACAAAGATTATATATGATCCACAAAGTCTAAAATATTTATAATTTGGCCTTTTACAGTGAGAGTTTGCTGGCCCCTGCACTATGCTAACCATTACTAAGAAGATGCATACGTTCCTTCAGTAGATCAGTGAGAGTTACTGATCTTTATAGATGAAAGACATAGCTGGTCATAAAACGAGTTAGTTGCAGAGTGAGAACAGTATGAACACCTATGAAGGTGCCATTGTAGAATTATTTTTCTTGATATCTTCTGATTTACAGTTAAAGACTGGTTTGACTTTGTGTAGGGAAAGTTTCTTGGAAAGATAGGAGATTTAGCCTTCAGTATTGTTTGGGATCAAAAGCAGCTGGGCTGGTGCTGACTTCCTTAATGTGATGTCTCTCATTAAGATAATGAATTTTGGATGAATTTTATATACTGCTTTAGTATTTGGAGACAGGATATATTAACAAAACACTTTCTATTTTAAACTCATGCTTTGTTTTTGAAAATAAAAATTACATCAGCACTACATATTAATAAATTCTGCTCTTTATAAACAACTATTTGGAGAAAAAAGATGGCTCTTTAACAATGCATTCCCCCAACCCCCAGAACTGTATTATTAAAAGAGAATATAGCATGTTTTGGCCTTTCTAAATAAATTGACAACTTGATTTTGGGAGAATTTCTGATATTCACCTGAGTTTTTATAGAGAGCTGTTTATTTAGCCATTTTACTATTTATTAAATGTTAATATAATGATAAACATTTTGGGGGATTATAAAGATAATGATAGAAGTCTTTGTTTGTTTTTTGCCATGATGTGATTTTCATTGATATATGGCTATCTAATCTACCACACACTATAGATGTGTTACATGTTTCTTGCTCATGCAAACTGTATTAACCTATTTTAATAGGGTCAGACAGTGGCCATATAGGTTCCATTTGGTCACAGTTGAGGTTCCATTTGCCTTTTCTTTGACACCATTGTAGATTGATTTGATAATTATTGATGGATGCCTTTTATTCAAACCCATTTCCTTGCTCAGTCATCTCACATTATCATTTTGGTTGTGGTAGGTGGAGTCAGTAAAGTACTCATGATAGTTGCTTAAATTACAGTATTGTTTGGTTAGAATATTTTTTTTTTACAAATAGTTTATTGTCAAATTAGTTTCCACATAACACTCAGTGCTCATCCCCCTAAGTGCCCTCCTCCATGCCCATCCCTCCTCCCCACCACATCCATCAGTCCTCAGTTTTTGTCAACATTCAAGAGTCTCTCATGGTTTGCCTCTCTCCCTTTCCCCCACCATTTCCCCCCTTCTTCTCCCCCTTGTTCCTCCGTCAAGTTCCTCCTAATCCTCCTATACATTCAAACATACGATATTTGTCCTTCTCTGCTTGACTTATTTCGCTCAGCATAACACCCTCAAGGTCCATCCATGTTGCTACACATGGCCAGATTTCATTGTTTCTCATTGCCATGTAGTATTCCATGGTATAGATAAACCACATCTTCTTGATCCATTCATCTGTTGATAGACACTTAGGCTCTTTCCATGTTTTAGCTATTGTGGAGACTGCTGCTATGAACATTGGGGTCCATGTGCTCCTATGCATCAGCATTTCTGTATCCCTTGGGTAAATTCCTAGCAGTGCTATTGCTGAGTCATAGGGGAGTTCTATTGTTAGTTTCCTTAGGAACCTCCACACTGTCTTCCAGAGGGGCTGTACCAGTTTGCATTCCCACCAACAGTGCAGGAAGGTGCCCGTTTCTCCACATCCTCGCCAGCATCTAGAGTTCTCTGATTTGCTCATTTTAGCCACTCTGAATGGCGTGAGGTGGTATCTCAGTGTGGTTTTGATTTGTATTTCCCTGATGAGGAGGGATGCTGAGCATCGTTTCATGTATCTGTTGGCCATTGGGATGTCCTCTTTGGAGAAGTGTCTGTTCATATCTTCTGCCCATTTCTTCACTGGGTTATTTGTTTTTTGGGTGTGAAGTTTGGTGAGTTCCTTATAATTCTGGATATTAACCCTTTATATGATATATCATTTTCAACTATCTTTTCCCATTCCGTAGGTTGCCTATTAGTTTTGTGGGTTGTTTCCTTTGCCGTGCAGAAGCTTTTAATCTTGATGAGGTCCCAATCATTTATTTTTGCTCTTGATTCCCTTGCTTTTGGGGATGTGTCAAGTAAGAAGTTGCTGCGGTGGAGGTCAAGGAGGTTGTTTCCTGCTTTGGTTAGAATATTTCTACTTTTTCATCCTTCCTCTTATGTTAAAAGTATTCTACTGCATATTTTTCTATGAGTTTTTGATTGGAAATTGAAGGATTGTACATGAAATTGAACTCTTTTAATTGTAGGAGTCTCCAAAAATACACAAAATAATCCACTTTTAATAGTCCTTCGATGTGGCCAGTCTTGTTTAATCTTTATCCTTCTTCTCCATTGCCTCCCATCAACCTCAGATAGTTTTAAAACAAGTTGTAAATACTGTATGTTATTTCATTGGGTAAATACTTTAAGTATATGTCTCTAAATTATAAGAATATGTCTCTAATTATAAGGACCATTAACATGATGAAAAATTAACAGTAATGTCTAATGTCAACAAATATCCAATTATGTTCAGATTTTCCTAATTTTCTCAGAAGTACCCTTCTGCAGTTGGTTTTAAAAATCAGGACCCAACTAAAATTCATGGTTTACATGTGGTTGAATTATCTCTTAATTCTGTTAATATACTGTATCAATTTCCCTTCCATTCTTTTTCCCCTTTGCCGCTGATTCTATAGGTCAATTATGAAATCTAAGTTTATGTCAAATTTAGGTTAACATTTTTGACAAGAAAATGTCATAAATGGTGAACAAGTTAGACTCTTGAGCTGAGCTAATAAGAAATAAATCTTATTTATAATAATATATAATATAACAAATAAGATTTATTTCTTATCACAGTAGTTATCCTGAATAGCAGACAAGAGGAAACAGAAAGTTATATGTAATGCTATTAATCATGAATTTTTTTAACAAAGTTACTAATTCACTATTTGTTTTTTTGTAATTAGCAACAATAATGAAACAACAGGAGTCCTTATTTGGCATAAGATTGCCAGACATAGACTACCTATTTTTAACTTTGCCTTCTGAGTCATTGGATTAGGTAACATTTCTGTCTACTGAGTGGTCTGGCCAACATTACTTTTCCTATTAAGGATGATGAAATCCTTGCTGTTAATTTTATACTGAAAATGATAAGTGTAAAAATTCATCTAACTAAAATCTAAACATGTAGATAATTCTTACGATTTATGTATAAAAGTTTAAGGTAAGAAAGCTATCTTTAAATACAGTAATTTTATTACAGGGAAAAGAGACTTTAAGTACTCATTTTTACTCTTATAAAATCTGGTAGTCTCCATTTTAAAATTTATTGTGAATGGTAACATGTCAAATTTTCTTAATCAGATAACCCCTGTTTGAAACTTCACAAATTAAATTTTGTGTATTAAAAAAAATAATAGTTAATTAGGTACCTGGGTGGTTCAGTCAGTTAGTTAGGTGTTTGACTCTTGATTTCGGCTCAGGTCATGATCTCTTGGTTTGTGAATTGGAGCCCCGCATCAGACTCCGTGCTGTCATCATGGAGCCCACTTCAGATTCTCCATTCCCCTCTGCTCCTTGCCAGGTCATGCATGTGCGTGTGTATGTGTGTGTGCTTGCACAAGTGCTTGCTCTCTCTGTCTGAAAAAAAGACAATGTGGTTCTTTAAAAAAAAAAGAATAGTTAATTGAAAAAGTACTCTTAAAATATATTTACTTGGGGCCAAACAACTTTATGAAAATAACTTATTTTTCCTTGAATATTTATTTCTCATAGTGGTGAAAATTATGTGAGAAATACCTTTTTCAAGAAAAAAATCTAAGAACATTGATATTTATCTTTATGGAAACATTTTCCTTTCTTTAGTTGACAAGTGAATGTTTGAATTTATTATTTCTTCATGTGTATTGCACCTATTTATATTTTATTGCTTTACTTATTTTTAAAATTTGATGGAAAATTACTTTGTTTTATATGAAATTGTTTCTAATTGAATTCTGTAATGGATTAATGCTATTTCCAATAATTGCCTATTGCTTAGCAGACAGTTAACACCTTGTGAATTTTGTGTTATTGGAAACAGGCGAGTAACAATCAAACGGTACAGCTCAGTGCATAGAATGATATAAAGATGTTGACTTTTGCTTTCTTAGTCCATGGGTCCTCCTATGTCCTCCGTTTAAAAGAAATGTCCCAGCACTTTTGATATTTGCTAATGTACTTTGTTTTTTATACAATTTTCTACATGCTTTTTCCTGATAAACATTTTCCTTAATAGCTATTATGGATCTTTTGAATGATTCCTTAAATCTGTCTCCTTCTACTAATGAGTGGTTTTGTGTTGGATTGAAAATCATTCTCCATTATAGAATGGTGCCTAAAAGCTGTGTATTTACTAGGGCAGCACTGATTTTGTTTCCTTTATTTGTTAAATAAACAACAAAGCACTGAATGCCAAATATATGTTTTTGTGGCTACTAAGACTTTTCATCACAAAAATGAATAAGAGGTAGGTGGGTAGGTTTGATGATTAATCACTGTAGTGGGTTGTGAAGTGGGAGCATTTAATCTCTTGGTAAACCATCTTATGTTAGTCCCTTCTGTCTTTACAGATAAATTATTAGTCATAACTGTAGCAACAAAAGAAAGTGATGGATTCCATCGATTTATGCAGTCAGCCAAATACTTCAATTATACTGTGAAGGTACAGTATATCTTTTAATTCACGAACATGTTAGAATATGTGACTGAAGTACGTTTTTCATAAAAATACCAATAGTCCTACCACCACAATCTACAGTCCACACAAGGAAATTGAAATTTGGTTACATAATTACTGAATTTGTATATATAATTGATTGTTTTAAGGATACATTTTGGCCTTATTAATACTCTGCCACTTAGACAATGGTTTCTTCATATTTGCTAATGCTTTTTATCAACATGTTCTATAAAACAACAGAAAATATGTTTATGTTATATTTATGTTTCTTTTGAGGGGTGAAGTACAAGAACAGCTTAACAGATTTAATAGTAATTTTTTTCATTACTGGGAAGAATTTTTTTTTTCTATAATGGGTATGTCTGTCATAGTATGTTTGTTTACAGAGAAGTAGAGACATGTCTGTGAAGGGGACCCTTTTCTGTTCCATTATTGAGAGTTGCCTTTCCTGTTGTTTGTTTTAGAGGAATTTGAGAACATTATAAAAGCATAAAAGTTTTTTTTAGAAGAGTGATCTCCAGGGGAATATCTTATTGATAAATGATCAGAGGAAACCTGGGAAATTTGGTAGAACTAGTAAACTGAGCTGTGAAAGGCCTGCCTTTTTTATTTACTTATTTATTTTTTTATAGGAATGAGGCTCTGTCAGCCAGGTCTTTTCCACAAATAAGAGGCTGATGGGGAGGTATCCCAGGTAGGAAAACAAACAGACCGACAAACTGAAGACATTTATAAAAAAAACAAAAACCAACACACACACAAAGAAACAAACAAACAAAAAACAACCAAAGAAACAAAAAACAACTTAAAAAAAAAAGAAGGAAAGATTGTTTTGCCTAGGAAAAATTGAGCTATTCTAGTATGTAATATAGAAATAAGGTAGTATTTACTTACATAACCCCTAGGAGACTAGGTATGAATGTTAATATGTAACAGCTATTGAAGAAGCTAAACTCTGCTGGGAAAGAGATCTAGTGTTAATAACCAGATACTTAATGCAGGATAAATGAGAAGTATGTTAGACATTTGTTAGGGATGGAGGAGAAATATAGTAATATGTACTAATAGGAGGCATTCTGGAATAACAAAGAAATCAGGGTAAAATAATGCTGAATAATGCTGAAATCCCAAAAGGAAAGATTGTTAGACTTTGTGCTGGGAGGGTGTGGGATGTTCCTTATGCATGAGGCACTGTTTGGAACTTTATATATGGTGTGCCATTCAAACCATGTATGTTAGATATTACTTTGTTTATGGATGAGGAAAACTTGCCCCAGGGTGTATAGCTATAAAATGTTAAATCTTGGACCCCAGCCCATTTGAGTGATTCTTGCTGTTTTCCCATTATGAAATGCAATAGTTCTCAAAGCATGAACCCCAGACAACCAGCATCAGCATCATCTGGGAAATTGTTAGAAAGGAGATTCTCAGACCTGACTTCAGATCTACTGAGTCACAAAATCTGGAGTCTGTGTTTTAACAGCCCCTCTACATGATTCTGATACACACTAAAGTTTGACATACTGACTGAGTGGAAAGAAAATAGAGAATAGAGCTTAGCAGAGTGCATGGCACAGACTGGGCTCTTGGATGTGGCTGGGCCTGGTATTAGTGCAGTATTGGAGAAGTCCAGAGGGTTTTGGAATGGAAGTGTAACAAATCACGGGCCAGAGGAGGCCAGTTTTTAGGGTAAAAACTAATAGTTCTATTAGACCAATACTTCTCCTAGACTAGCCCCAGTATGAATCCAGATACACATCAGTTTTGAGTTTTCTTGTTAGCAATTATCCCCAATCTGCAATAGAGGTAGTGTAGTGATGAAGTGATAACTAGAAATCTGAGGCTGGCAGCCCGGTGGGCTTTGCCAGCCAGGTTTATATTGGTTCAATGTTTATTGATATTGGAGCTAATAATGTTTTTTTCTAACAAACAACAAAACTAAAAGGCAACCTACTGAATAGGAGAATATGTTTGCAAATGATATATCTGATAAAGGGTTAGTATCCAAAATATGAAGAAGTGATACAGCTTAATACCCCAAAAACAGATAATGTAATTAAAAAATGGACAGAAGTCATGAACAGACATTTCCCCAAAGAAGACATAAGATGACCAACAGACACGTTTAAAGATGCTCAACATCACTAATCATGAAAGTTTTTTTTTTTTTGCAAATTTTGCAGAATTTTGCAAATCAAAACCACAGTGAGATACCACCTGACACCAGTCAGAATGGCTAAATTCAAAAACATAAGAAACATTAAGTGTTGGGGATGATGTGGAGAAAAAGGAAACCTCTTACATGGTAAACTATAATGTAAACTTGGAATGTAAATTGGTGTAGCCACTGTGAAAACCAGTATGGAGGTTCCTCAAAAATTAAAAATGGAACTGCTTTATGACCCAGTAATTGCACTACTGGGTATTTACCCTCAAAATACAAAACCACTAATTCAAGGGGATACATGCTCTTCTGTGTTTATAGCAGCATTATTTACAGTAGCCAAACAGCCCAGTGTCCATTGACAGATAAATGGATAAATAAGATGTAGTAGTGGTTATATGTAATGGAATATTATTCATCCATAAAGAAGAATGAAATCTTGCCATTGGCAACAGCATAGATAGAACTAGAGAATATAATGCTAAGAGAAATAAGTCAGTTGGAGAAAGACAAATACCATACGATCTTACTCATATGTAGAATTTAAGAAACAAAACAAATAAGCAAAGGGAAAATAAAAAAGAGAGAAAGATAAACCAAGAATTAGACTCTTAAGCATAGAGAACAAACTTATGGTTACCTGAGGGCAAGTGGGGGGGGGGGAGTCGGGGGAAATAGGGAATAGAGATAAAAGAGTATACTTATGGCGAAAATAAATAAGATAATAAATTAAAAAGTAAACTCTAAAAAAATAAAAAGTAAAGTTTATTTGGTCTATTGCCTATTTTAATATAAAAAAATATTTTCTAAATTTATTTTACCTTTTGTGTTTAATTTCACTCTCCCTTAATTTCACAAATCTCCCAGTAACATCATTATCTTGGGAACATCAGACTTTGTTGTGATGAAATTAAAATCCAAGGTGTGTGTGTGGCAGAGGGGGGGCATACACTTGCCGCTCCCTCACAGCTGGTGTGTCACCGTGTACTTCCACTATGACACAGCTGCTGGGGCTGAGGCAGACGGGCTGAGGCTACAAGTGTAGCTTCGATTAACTGTGCTTAGGCACTTCCTTGCATGATGAGTTGTTATTAAGCTTCTGAGGGTAAAGTAAGTTTAAAATTTAGAATGAAGGTGACATCTGACTTGATGCCCTCTGTGTTTCCTTAACAACTGATTTGGTTCAGTGATTAGGAAAATCACTTAAGGACCCTGCCCAAAACCCTTCTGGGCTTGGCTTTTGCTGTTCCTCATGCAAATTTCCTGCCAGACTGAAAAGCTTTACAGAAAGTTTCTGAATTTTCTTTTTAATTTTAGTCTGAACAAGTAGAAATAAGACAGGAGAAATATTTTCTGTGCTCCTCACCCCCTTGACCTCCTTGGATTAGAGTCTACTCTTGAAATGGTAAAATTGGGAATGACATTTTAGGGGATGGTTAACACTGAAGAATCATGACCTAAACTAAGCATCAAGTGTTTTTCTTGGTAGCATCATGATTTAGTGATTTAGTAAAATGTTTGAAGACTGGATACTATGTAATATGGTACACGTTGCTAATGAGTTCTGTGATACTGCTATAACTTGAGTTTTGCTCAGTGATGAATTGTTGATTTCATTCATAGGTCCTTGGTCAAGGAGAAGAGTGGAGAGGTGGTACTGGAATTAATAGTATTGGAGGGGGCCAAAAAGTGAGATTAATGAAAGAAGTCATGGAACATTATGCCAGTCAAGAGGATTTGGTTGTTTTATTTACTGAATGGTAAGAGAAAGAACTTATGGATTTTTAAGTCTACACTGAATTATCATTAAAAAGAGTTGAAATTCATATTTGCAGATTATATATTAAATTATTTTATTCACAAGGAATAATTATTTTAAAAAGTAGATTTTACTCATAATTATAAAACTATCATCAGGGCACCTGGGTGGCTCAGTTGGTTAAGTACCTGACTTTGGCTCATGATCTCACAGTTTGTGGCTTTGAGCCCTGCTTCGGGCTCTATGCTGACGGCTAGCTCAGAACCTGGAGTCTGCTTTAGATTCTCTATCTCCTTCTCTCTCTGACCTCTGACCACCACCCCCCACCCCCCGCTCTCTCTCTGCTGTCTCTCTCTCTTTCAGAAATAAATAAAAAAACATTAAAAAAAAAAAACCCTGTCATCTAACATAATTATGTAATGGATCAAGTCTAATGGGTTACCATAAGCAACAATGAGAAAATACAACATGATCTAGCATATAAGAAAGGCATAAATTTTGAAATGAAAATAGACAATGAAGTCCCACTGTCATCAACCAGTAAAAGTTTTGATAGTCTATATATTTGCTTCCTTAGAATTTCCCTAATATCTTGCATGAAAAAAACAAAGTTCTGCCTGTAGCTAACCTGTTCTTACAACATGAGATGTAGAATAGCTGGTGTCAGCTTGTATACAGAGAATTTTTATACAGAATCTATTATTATATATATATTTACCTTTGGAAAAAGAGTAGGAAGCTCACAATAACTAGTTAGAATAAATATTGAGTATGTTTTGGTTTAAAAATAGGGTGGAGGCGCAGCTGGGTGGTTCAGTTGGTTAAGCATCTGACTTCGGCTCAGGTCATGATCTCTTGGTCTGCAAGTTTGAGCCCAGTGTCAGGCTCTGTGCTGACAGCTCAGAGCCTGGAGCCTGCTTCGGATTCTTTATCGTCTTCTCTCTCTGCCTCTCCCCCATATGCACTCTTTCTCCATCTCTTAAAAATGAATAAACATTTAAAAAATTTTTTAAAAATGGTAGATTTGAAATAGCCAGTTTGGTCAGCTTGAACTTGCCACATGTACATTTTGATTTTCATTTTGGGGCAAATTTTTCTTGTAAAAGTGACCACATATGAGCTAGTAATGGTTTTAGATTCTTAAGCCTCCTTTTGTGTTTTGGAAGAACCTCTTTCCTTCCACCTATACCTTCCTGTCCCATTCCACTTCCCCCAACCCCAGTCCAGGACTTAGCCTTGGGAAAAATTGGTTTAATAAGGTGCCAGTTTGTTTTTCTTAAGTAAAGGGATACCTCGAGATATCTGAAAGCTGCTTGCAGTTGCATTTATTCATTTAGATGATATTTTAAGACCCAGCGTGACAAAGAGACAACAGTAAAATTTTAAATGGAAGGCTAGTGTGTGTCAGGCACTGTTAGTGTTTGGAATATATCAGTGAACCAAACAGACAAAATTTCTGACAGTTTCCTCTGTGAAAACAGTCAGGTAACTGAAAATATCCAGGCCCAACTCAGCCAAGCCACTGTCTGAGAAGAATTGTTAACATGTTCTCTATCTTTACCTGCTGTGTCTGTTCTGCTGGAAAAGCCTAGGGATCATGAGAAACTGACCGAGGTAAAGAAGGATAGGCAATTGCTTCCATTCTAGAGCTTTCTTTCTCCCCTTATTTATTTACTTGTTTAAACAACACCCTTTAAAATAGTGTCATGTACAGAGTGATAAATCCAGTTGAAAATTATGCGTAACCTAAGGTCTGAGAGAAATGGATAAGCCTATTTATAAATTACTTGAACTAGGATACCCATCCTGTAACAAAATTGCTAATCTCCTAATTAAATTTACCTCTGGTCAAAGGTAGAATTCAGAAAAGTAGAATTATTAATTTTTTATAAATCAAATCCCTATATCTATGAGGCTTTCTTTATTTTAATTTTTTTTATTATTAGAGAAGGAGAGAATCTTAAGCAGGCTTCACGCTCAGTGCCTAGTCTGAAGCAGGGCTCCATCCCATAATCTGGGGACCCTGACCTGAGCTGAAATCAAGAGTCAGGTGGTTAACCAACTGAACCACTCAGGTGCCCCTAATGTGGTTTTCTTAGGACAACTCAACTGCAGTGATTTGCTTTATGGAAGCATAGGTCACCACTGTATGAAAAAAAAAAATGCAAACACTTGTGTACTTAATGGATTGGATAGTTTGGATAGTCTTTTTCAAAAAAAAGCTTTCTTGAGGTATAAATTATATACCATTACATATACTCCTTTTAAGTGTAAAATTCAATAATTTTTAGTCATTTTAGAGTTGTGCAATTATCATCACTTCTCAACTTTAGAACATTTCTAATACCTTCAAATAATCTCTTGTGTTCATTTAGACTGGCTTTTGTGAATTAACTTGGTAACAATTTTATAACACTGCTTCCATGGGAATATGTATTCTAAACTGACTTTTGGATGATCATTTAAAATTAGAGAGTAGATATTTATAAATATACTCTGTAGAGTAAGATTTATTATATTTAGATAAAAACAAATATTTGGCAAGGGTTTGGGTTCATAAAATGAAAACTGAAACTATCCATATGAGAAAGTAACACAAACTTTTTTTCAAGTTATTTTATGCTGATGTGTATGTATATGTGTGTTAATGTAACTTAGATGGTTTATAAAGCTGACCATCTCTCCTTGATTAGATGACTTTATTTAATAGAATTCTAATGAATAATTCCAATAGCAATGAATTTGATGACTTAAAATTTTTTTAGTTTTTATTTATCTTTGAGAGAGAGAGGGTGAGCAGGAGAGGGACAGATGGAGAGGGGTGCACAGAATTGGAAGCCATCTCCAGGCTCTGAGCTGTCAGCACAGAGCCTGATGTGGGGCTTGAACTCACAAGCTGTGAGATCATGACTTGAGAGAGCTGAAGTCGAATACTCAACTGACTGAGCCACCCAGGTTCCCCTAAATTTGATGATTTTTAATGGATGGAGTGCAATAAGAATGGGTTCTTTTGGAATAGGCTCATAAAGATTTTGAGGACAAATATTGTTACTTGGTAGCTGCATATTCTCTTATGGAGAAAAATTATTCCATAAAGATTTTATAATTCACCTTAATCAGAGTAACTGAGCACTTTGAATTTTATTACAAGGTACATTGAATTACTTTTAGAATTACCTTGTAAATTATGTATTTATTTTACTTCAGTCACATTGAAGACAGATGATCAGGCCTAATTATTATTATATAGTAAAGAGTATTTTTAAAAAATAATATGTAGGCCATTAAGTAACAAAAAGTGTTTTATTGTGATTGATACAAATTGAATATTCCCAACAATCTTATTCTTTACTAGATATAGTAAAATATAAACCAGCCAAAATCCAGATTCCAGAATAAGCATGTGGTGGAAGACTTTATTTTGGGGTGTTAGTGTCTAATAAAACTTTAGTTATTTGTTTTATTCTTTTTGTATAGATTTAAGAATATTCGTTAGAAGAAAAGTTGTTATAAATAAAGGTGGTGTTTTTGAATTTGGACTGAACAGAAATTTCTATTTTTTGGTGATGTTGAATATAATGTCATTCATCAGAATTGAGATGGGTTACATTTTGAAAGACTCCTAATATATGAAATATTTAAAAGACATATTCAGTAGTGGTTATTGGCCTTACCAAAATGAAAATTTGCTCTATGAAAATAACTACCCAAGGACTTTGATATATAGAAACTGCTTGGTTCATTAAAGTATTTTTTTAAAGATGATTAACTCTATGACTTTGAGGTAAGATAAAGGAATTGACTTTGCAGTTTATAAGCTCTTGGTAACTAAGGATAGCAGTAAAGAAGATTAAACTGAAAAAACTGGAATAATAGTTAATGTTACAATACAAAAGCTGATATAGAATTAAAATGAATATAAAGTAAAGCCATTATTATGGTATTTATCTAGGTGCCTCTGGCCTGGGAAATTGATCCAGGATAAAGAACATTGACTGAAAACCCAGGAATAATCTTAGTCACAAATTCTTCTCTGTTAACATAGTATGCCTTACCACTTGTATATTGCCAGCTTCCATGTGCCTAGAATGTTGAATTGTAATTGTCCTTTTTTCCAGACAGTGTACCTGATTTAAATACTGTCTGGGTAAATAGCAAGGTATCAATAAATATTAGGTAAAAGAAACTTGCATCAAAAGAGCAAGAAACAGATCTTACAAGATCTGAGAAATATGGTGGATGCTTTGAAACTGCTTTTAAAGTTGGATTTTCTTCATTTATTTGGAGAAACTAAAATGATTTGTAAAGGCCAAAAAGCATCCAGATTTTCTAAATCTCAACGATTGCGATTATTAAAAAAATGAATTTTGATTGTCAGAAGCCATGAAAATGATGACGTTGCTGCTGACCTTTCAGATGTAAGCTAATGTTTGTTTCTTTGGTTCCTAGTTAAATATTATTTTGCTGAAAAAGTAAGATAAGTGGACAGAGTTTTCACTTTGTATTTAGCACACAAAAAGTTTCTATTGAGTATAAACTATGATCTATGCACTAAACTTAACACTGCAAACAAAGAGAGAAACACAGATCCCGATTCTTTGAGAATACTCAAAGAATTCTCATATTATGCTAATTCTGCAAACAAAACTGAACAAATCTAATTTGGAAGAAATAATATGTTTTCAGAAAAACTTGCGTATTGACACAATCTTCTTAGAATCATTTACTTTTAGAAAATTGTCAAAGATTATGTTTTATTGGATCATTTTGCTAATTGTTTATAAAATTATTTTTATGATTTTATTGTTATTGTCATAAGTATGATTTATGTGTATTAGTTCTATAGATGACCAGATCCTATCTTATTTTATTCTATGAAATGAATATTTTATACATTCCATAGGTCAATACATATGCAGTATGTGTAAAATACTTGCATTTTATATTGTCTTACATAGTTTGCACAGTTGACAGAATAAAAATTTTCTGAAAGCAAAGCTT